GATTGATATTAGTCTAACCAGAAACGCAGAGAAATTTAAAGACTAAGCCCCAACCCCATTCCCCTCCAATCTGCACCTGCTGCCGGGGACCGTGTACGCATGCGCACGCTGCACCTGCCCGGTACGTGCTCAGCACCGTCGCGCCGCCACGATATCACATAAATATTTATGCTGCTTGGCCAGACGGAGAATTCCAGTGAACAACAGGTTTCAGGCAAGGTTTGGATTTTCTCAGATAAAGCCTGTGTTTTGTAGAGGTTCTCCAGAAACAAAGTCATCATAGACCACTGGAAATTTGCTTGCCAGATGGAGAGCTAAATGACCCTAACACAAACACACCACGAGGAGAAGAAGTAAAGAGAGCACAGGCAGCAGTGCAGGCTGCGATGCTGAGCCGCGGGACGGGCAGCGGGGAGGGCACGTGCACGGGCTGCCAAGCCCTGGTAGATCTGGGAGCTGGCTGCAGCTTTGCCAGCCAGGAGCCCACCATGAGCCTCCACCAGGGATGAAGACCAAAGGGTGCCTGGTTGCAATCACAAGGCTGCAGGATGATCTCCTGCTCCGGGCAAGGGGAGGCCACGCGGTGCCGCCCATCACTCATGAAGGAATCAGACAAACACCGTTAGAACAATGCTACACGCTGCCACAGAGACCCACAGCAAACACTGGCACAGAAAGATTTCTGCCTCTACAGTCCACCCTGCTCTTCCTGGGCACTTCCAGGTCTGCAGGATCAGAGAAGAACCAGGCTGTGCTGCTTGCTTCCGTCTGAGCCCAGGCACTCATCTATCTTCTGCACCAATCAGGAGGAAATTAGTCACCTAAGTGCACAGTCCAGGCACATGACTTAGGGAAGGGTTGTGCACACACAGAACGTTGCTCCAGGACCAGAGGTTCCACCACACCGAGAAGTGGCACGTAGGCACAGAAGGAACGTCCAGCAAGCCAACGGCAGACTTTCACTGAGCCCAAGAAGGCCTGATCCATGACGCTGTTCAGAGAATAAGAAGCACTCTACAATTCACAAGGGGATAACTGGGAACCAGCTGAGAAAACTCAAATGTGCAGCAGAGGTATGCGCTTCATGTCTATTTATACCTCTTGAAAGGCCGGAGCCAGACAACGAGTTACCGCAGAACAAAAGTGCTGCTGAAGTACCACGCTGAGGAGCTAAGGGACAGGCAGCGGCAGGAAATACGAAGGCAAAGCATTGCCTACCACAAGGGCGAGCTCAGGAACGTTGTCTCCTCGAGCAGGAAGCGCATACCAGGAATTCTTCCCCGCTGCTTCAGGAGCCTGTCCGTCATCAATCTAAGGAGCCGATGGTACAAGAGGCAGTGAACCCTGACGTAGGACCTGCCTGCTATTCACTGAGAGCCTTTTGTTTTCAGACTAAACTCTGCTCCCCCAAGGCATGTGCCTGCACATGCCTCCAAGAAAGGCAACAAGGGCAACGGCTGCTCCCAACTCGTGGCTCTGAGCAGGCAGGAAATTCCAGCCATTCCCCTGTACCAGATCCACAGCTGCATTTTTCTGATTGAAGCCTGGGGAGCCCTTCAGAGACACTGTAAAAGAGGGTGGGTTCTCCATCACCTTTGCTTAAGGTCAGCTTTGATTTGCAAGTCAGGAAAATGTGGAGGGCTCTCAGCCTGCCAGATGGATGCTGTCCAAAAATCCCACTTCATTTACTAACAGTTTGGAGGACTTAAGGAGTAGAGGAGGAAGAAAAGAGGGGGGCATAGACTCCCAGATAGACAAAGCTGCTGTAAGAAAGAAAGCAAACGTGGTAAGATCTATTAGAAGCCAGTCAACCAAAGACATCTCCTGCTGGCTCTCTGAGTCTGCAGCCAAGAAGTCCAAGCAGGATGCCCTACGCCGATCCACATTGCTTCCTAGCTGATGACCATCGTACGCTTGGATTTCTTGCTCCAGAGCATTCTGGTTGCAAAACGCCCTTGTCAGCAAACGGCTCATTCAGCAGTATGACATCATTCTGGAAACAACACCTTGTAGGAAAAGCTTATCACCTTATAAAGCAAATAAAAAAGAGAGTGATTTCAGCACACACACACAACAGAAGAATTAGGGATTGGCTCAGAGGAGAGCCAATGCCCTCTCTGGGGAGCGCACACCATGGCTCACGTTTGAGGAAGACCTCAGAGCTCCACAGTCCCAGCTCCACGTTTGCTCGTACAGGCTCGCACAGCCTGACTTTGTTCCAGGCTGCCTGCGGCCCCTCACATGTTGGACATCAGCTAGGTAATAAAAGCAGGTGAACAATTCCAATGTTCTGTCTCTGAAGAAAAAGCTAGTGAGCTGAGTGGGCTAGTCGCACCAGCCCAGGAAAGGTGAATAGATGTTCCCAACCTGAGCTAGATCACAGAAGACCGCGAGAAAGCACCCAGGCACAAAACAAGTTTGTAGCACAGACTGAAAAAGGACCTTCAAGTTTTCTTTTCTGACCCCCTTCTAGTCACAAACCACCGTTAGCTCTCCAGGTGGGGGGCACAGCAAAGTCCTCACTGCAGCTTTTGGGCTAGTCTCTGTCCGACGGTGCTCACTTGGAGCTCCCTCATGCTCCCTGCATGGTGCAACCGGGACCGTAGGAAGGCTGCCTGGCTCTGGGATTTACCTCTGCGGGGGCAGCTTCTAGCCTTCTGCAGCAGCAAAGCAGTAATGCAGATGTTCACCCTACTCTACCTGCAGATCACAACGCAGCTGGCAAGGGGTGAACACCGAAATCACAGCCGTGTTTAGTGCGCTCTCCGCTCACGGTTTCTGGTGATGTTGCTTCACCGGATGGATGCCTTGTTTTCACGGAATCACAGAATCGTTGAGGTTGGAAGGGACCTCTGGAGATCATCTAGTCCAACCTCCCTGCTCAAGCAGGGTCACCTAGAGCATATTGCCCAGGATCACATCCAGACGTTTTCCCCTGACCTTGGCAGCGTCAGAGGTGGCGAAAGACAGGACGGCGGTAACTCATGCAAGGCACAATAGCATCAAGCTGAAGCTCTGGAAGAAGGTCTAGTTGTTTTACCCATGCGAGTCTGTTCCAGCCTAACTACTCTACACACAGCCAACGAAACCTTGGCGCAGCCTCAGGTGAAAGCCGTGCGCGGTCCGGCCCGGGGCCGACATCGGCTGTAGGGCAGCACCATCTGGTGGTACCGGCACCGCGCCGGCTCTCCCCGCGCGCTGCCGCTCAGCAC